AAAATAACCGGTGCTCTGTCCTCACACCCCCGCGACCCCCTTCCTGCCGTTATCGCAGTTACTGTCCCGTATTTTCCGCTTCAAGTCGACACTTTCCACGGTCCCACCCCGCAGTTGTCGGTAGCGGTACATTCTCCACCGGTTGTCTAGCTGATATTTTGGAATCACTCCCTCATCCAGAGGGTCCATCTCCCCTTTGTATCATTTGACATTTCCCGGCGTGATCCCACGCAGTAAGGGGAAGGCTTTAGCGCAGCCAACGCTCTAACCACCTGAGCTACGAGGCCCCGCCGGACGACGCGAGTTTAATCACATTTGGGTCAAGTTACCCGCCCAACCTACTGCAACGTCTGGAATCCACCAAATCTGATACAGTAAGTTGACTGCCCAAGCAGGATTTCCTAAGTAATTCACCTAGAATCCACCAGATGACTACCAGGCTCGCGTTATTCATTGATATTTGGCAGATTTTGACTAATTCATATTGACCCAACTGTGAAAAACTCGGCGCCTCCCACCGAGGCGCCGAGTTTTTCACAGTTGGGCCAATATGAATTATTCAAAATCTGCCAAAATATCAATGAATTTCCCGGCGTGTTGATTCCACTGCCCTTGGTATAGATATATATTTCGTATCATTTGACTTTTCTTACTCACAGCTTGGATATGATGGATGACCCATTTAACAACTCCCTTCTGAGCAATTTTAGCCAAGAGTTATGTCTAGTGCTCCACGTTATCCCTTGTGTGCCACCCTCATCGTCTTTGGCCACCACACCATCATTGCGAGAAAAAATGGACAACCAATTAGTGCCCGGATAGTACAATCCAGGCGAACAATCAAATTACGCAACCTCCAATCGCGAGAAGTCACGATAGGAGTACATCCAGTTCACTAGAGGTTTCTATTATTGTCACGCTGCGAAACTGATAAATGCTAATAGGAAATAAGTGGACTGTATAATATGGCTCCAGTTGCGAAAATTAGTGCCTGTTTACGAGCATAGGCACATTTTTACGAGATGTTATGGAAAAAAAGTAATTTTCAGCACCTTATCACGATCTATGTGGGCAATGGCATCAGCATTGGGCGTAATAAAATTATGATATAACCTGAAACGGTTGTTTTCTTCATGGCAACAATGTGAAGTAAACTTTTGAGGGGGTAAGTGAGGCCTCATATTTTGTGTCTTTATTCATTTTTCTGACTGTCCGTGCAATAAAGCGGTACTTATGTTTTTGAGCCAAAAGTGGGGAGCAAACTTGTTAGAAAGCCCCTAAATACCCTTCGTCACATTGCCCGGCTTTTAGGATCCTAGGTTTCCCTGGAAACAGAGGTACGCTCGTCTTTCTGGGAAACTTATTTCTCCACAAACTGACGTTTCGCAGTAAAAAAGAGTAAGAGAATGATGATTTCCCACCTCAATGTCAATGGTCAGCTCCTCCAATCCTCCGGCAGCTAATCGCTCAGCTTAACTCCTGAGCAAAGAAGTAAATCTAATCGTCCGAGGTAAACATTAAAGTCGCATATGTTGTGAGAGGGCCAACATCGGCAAAAAATCAAACAACCGGGGTAAAGGGAGACCCGTTTGTATTGTCAGACTGCCACAGCCAAGCCCCTAGGTCTGCATCCGGCCAGATTGGTAAACACAAATTATGCATATCTTCTGATAATTACCATCGCAGATGACAGAACATAGCCTGTGACCCAGCTGGTGGACCTCTTGGCACAATAATTAACTGAATCCTGACTCAAAATCCAGAGGTTCTCGGCCAGAGCTCAAAATATGGCTGGATCACTCCCGCCACTTTACCAGTAATACCTCCCGATTACTGGGAGCAAGACGCTATTGCATTATGCATTAGAGTTCTAGACCAGAAGCCGGAGATAAAATGAAACGACAATATCTTGTATTGATCGAAAAACACCACCTACCAGGTGGTTAAAAACAGTCAGCCCTCCACCCTGTGTTGACAGGATAGCACACGGCCGGAGACTAAAAAGCACCGCATATCCGTTGGACAATTACCTTCCATAGTCGGTCCCCGATTCTGCCCTTTGACATGGCAAATTGAGTTAGATTCTGCACACTTAGCTGTAGAACGCTGTGTTATAAGTTTGGCCGGCAATTTGAGAAGCATTGTCGTAGATCCTGGAAGGCACCAGCCGCTTTCCTGTCATAGTCGGGGTTTCGCACAATCCAAAGGAAAGTACCCAGCGCCTGGTGAAGAGACCGAAAAATACTACGCCATGACAAGATGCATCAGTAATTATTTGCCTGATCTGGTAAAGCTGTGGGCAAGACCTATGAACTAAGAAACGTAAAGTTTACTCTAGATGCGAATGACCGAAAGCGCATCAACAGGAAGGCGAAACGACACCAAACCAGAGGTCTTGCATAATTCGGCACAACCCGGGATAGCCCTTAGCTTTGAGGAAATTACCATATTTTCAAGGGGTCATAACTGCATTAACTGCCATCACCCTCGTTCAGAGTTATCCAACTCGGATTCAACAAATCAATGCCTTTTCGTTTCCTTCACAACCTATTCGACTTTAAAATGTGGAAATTTAAATGCACATTTTAAGTTAGCTGGACATGGATTGGTTTTTGATGCGGAAAGTGGCAGAGAATAAAGTAGTCGTGAAGGAGACAGGGTCGCTGGAACAAGAGCTTTATTAGTCTGACGCTTCAGATTGTCACTCGA